GTTTGTCTGTGTTTTCCTTCATCTCTTTCATAATCTCTTGAAGAGCCCTAAATGTTAGTCTTTTGAATTCTACATCATGTCATTCCACTGTGTTTTCTTCTACTGGAAGGTCATCTGATTCTTTATTTTGTTCCCTTATTTGAGCCATCTTTTCCTGCTTTTTTTATGTTTTGATGTTGTCTGCTGTCTCTGAGACATTAAGGTATTATTTTCCTTATTTATCCACTGTGTGTTCATTTGTTTGGTCCAACTTCTTTGTTTAGCTTTTATATGATGGGTTGGGGGGAAGTCCAGGTGTGCTTTGCTGCTTGCTCATATGTGGGCAAGAATTCTCTCACCACTTTGTCAGGGTGGGCAGGGCTGCAGCTGGCAGGGCAAGCTTTACTCTGGTTTGGTGAGGTGGCTGAGGGCAAACTAGGCAGGCACCGTCTGCCTCCTGACGTTGGTCCAGCGGTGTGAGAGCATTCACAGCCCCTCACCAAATAGATGTGGGTGTTGGCAGGGGTTGGTACAGGCTCACTTCCCACTGTTCAGCAGCTGGTCTAGTGGCAGGAGGGGAGGGGCAGCGTGGTTCTGGTATGGCAGTGGGCCTGATCACCAGGGACAGTCTAGCCATGGCAGCATGGTGACGGCCAATGGGAAGGGGAGGTGGCATACTGGGCTAGGTGGGGGGAAGAAAGGCAAGAAAAGAGAGAGAAAGAAAATAAAAAGGTAGCTGGCAGTAGAGGATGGGGCAGACTGGTGGCCGTCGGGAAAGGGGGGAAAGTGATGTACAGGGCAAGGTGGGAGGTAAAAAGAAAAGAAAGAAAGAAAAAAGAAAGAAAGAAAAAAGAAAATAAATGGCAGCACGGTGAGGGCCGGCAGGTGTGGGTGGGCCAGTGTGCCAGTGGCACTCTAACTACAGTGGTGTGGCAGGGGCCAGCAGGAAGTGGGGGCAGGTGGTATACGGGGCTAGGTGAGAGGGAGAAAAAAAGTAAGAAAGGAAAAAAGAGAAAAAAAATGGTCATGCAGTGGGGGCTGGACAGTAGGCGCAGGGTGGACCCAGGGGCCAGTAGGAAGGGAGAACAGTTGACATACTGGGCTAGGTGGGAGGAGAAAAAAAATGGCGACATGGTAGAAGCCACGGATGGTGGTACCCAGGGCAGTGGCAGGCCATTGCGCTGGTGGCTGTCTATCTGCAGCAGTGCAGTGGGGTCCAGCAGGAATGGGTGGAGGTGGCATATAGGACAAGGTGGGAGGGAGAAAATAAAGGAAGAAACAGAAAAGAAAACAGCTTGGCAGGAGCCAGCAGTTGGGGACACAGCAGATCCGGGGTGGCAGTGGGCCGGTGGCTCTCTAGCTGCAGCAGTGTGGCAGGGTCTGGCGGCCAGCGGATGAGGTGGTATGTATGGGGCAAGGTGAGAGGGAAAAAGAAAAGGAGGAAAGGGGGAAAAATGGCATGGCAGGATCCGGTGGGTGGGGGTGGGGCAGACTTAGGGCAGTGGTGGGCTGGCAGTGGTGCGATATGGCCCAGTGGGAAGGGGTAGAGGTGGGAGGGAGAGCAAAAAGGAAGGAAAGGAAAAAAGATGGGGCAGCAAGAGCCAGGAGGTGGGGGAAGGTGAGGGTGGGTGGGGATGGGTGGGACCCAGGACGGTGACGGGCCTGTAGCTCTCTATTCATGGCAGTGCAGCATGGACCCAGTGGGAAGGCATAGAAGTGGGGTACTGGGCTAGGTGGGAGGAAGAAAGGGGAAAAAAATGGCTCAGCAGGAGCCTGTTTGTGGGGGTGGGGCAGAACTGAGCTGGCAGCCAGCTGGTGGCACTCTACCCAAGGCAGTGCAGCATGGTTCAGCGGGAAGGTGTGCATGGGGGCACCATGATTTGGAGGTCAACTCAACAGCAGTTAGCAACAACAAAAACATTTATAGATCTATTCTGTTCTTATAATTTTATTTATTCCATAGTATGTGTATATCATACTTTTTTTTCCCCAAATGCAGAACATTGTTTCTCTGCCTGCTTCTCTGCTGGTCTGATGCACAGCACTGGCCACTGTTAAGAACGAGTATCTCCTGGTTCAGCTTCTCGGTCCCCATCTGGACGTTAGCCTCTGTTTTCACGCCCCTTATCTCATGCTGGACTCTCTGAGCAGGCCTCCAAGGGTCACTTTCCTGCTGAGTGTGCCTTGTTGACGTCCCCCATCTCTGCTTTGCAGGCCAAGAACAAGGAGACAGGCGCCTTGGCTGCAGCCAAAGTAATTGAGACCAATAGCGAGGAGGAGCTGGAGGACTACATCGTGGAGATCGAGATCCTGGCCACTTGCAACCACCCCTACATCGTGAAGCTCCTGGGAGCCTACTACTACGACGGGAAGCTGTGGGTAAGGGTGCTGCCTCCCGCCTTCTCTTGGCCCTCATGTGTTGGTCCAGAACCCCTGAGCCTAGTTCTGACATCTTCAGTTCTTTCTCAGGGTTTGCTTTGAAGGCAAGGGCAGGGCGAGGAGAAGGTGAAGTAGATGGACTGTGGGTCCCCTGCCCTCCCCATTGTCCCCCAGAGCCTCCCCACTCTTATGTGTAGAGTTCATAGCAGGAACTCTAATGCTGTAATGCCTGGGCTCAAATCCCAGCTCTGCCACTTATGAGGTGGATAACCCTGGGCAAATTCTTAACCTCTCTGTGTCTGTGCCTCAGTTTCCCCATCCTTAAGGTGGGGATAATAATAGTACTAACTCATGGAGGTGTTAATGAGGATTAAATGATTAAGTTAGAATTAAATTAGCACCTAAGTCTATTAGGTGCTTACAACAGTGGCTGGCACATGTAAGATCTCAGTATGTGTTGGCTATCTGATTGCTTCTCGTAGTAGCACCTTTGCTATTGCTGCTGCTGCTGCTGCTGCTGCTGCACGGGGATTCTTTTATTCTTTTCAATGGCAGCAGTAAAGAGGGGGAGGCCTGTAACATCCCCTTCTCCATTAACAGCCTCATCCTTTGATATGCACAATGCAGATCACCTTCCAGCCTCAGCACTACCCCTCACCTTCTAAGGAGGAACTCTGGGGTGCCCCTTGGTTTTCACTGTACAAGCCTGCCCTGCAGAATGTCTTCTCCACTGATGTCCTCCCTGTATTCATGCCTCTCAGTTCATAACACCCAAACTTCTTACAACATACATATCTCTCCAAACTTTCTTTCACCCACTGTTTTATAGATAAAGCATCACATTTAAGACCCCAAAATTCAGTACAGGCAGTCCCAGGATTATGAACGAGTTCCATTCCTAAGTCTGTCTTTAAGTTGAATCTTTACATAAGTCTCAGTCTTTAAGTCAAATTTGTACATAAATTGGAACAGTTAGGTGCAGTTCGCATCTAATGTCAGTTAGTCAAATGCTTTTCTTAGTATATAGTATATAGTGTACCTTTTTATGCACAAAAAGCATTAAACACTTCCAGAAATACCACAAGTGGATGGCTTTAACAAACAGGAAATTTTTTCACTCACAGTCTAGGCAGCTAGAAGTCTGAATTCAGGACGCCAGCTCCAGGGAAGGTTTTCTCTGTCAGCTCTAGGGGAAGGTCTTTTCATCAAGCTTCCTCTATTCTAGGAGCTTCTCAGCGTAGGGACTGTGGGTCCAAAGGACACGCTTATCTCCTGGTTCTTCATTCTTGGTAGCATGAAGTCCCCATCCTCTCTGCTTGATTATCTCTTTTGTATCTCAAAAGAGATTGCTCCAGGATACAACCTAATCCTGTAGATTAAGTCCTGCCTCATTAACATAACTGCCTCTAATCTTGCCTCATTAACATCACAGAGATTAGGATTTATAACACATAGGAAAATTACAGCAGATTACAAAATGGTGGAAAACCACTCCTCACTGGAAATCATGGCCCAGCCAAGCTGACACACATTTTGGGGGCACACAATTCAATCCATAGCACATAATAATACAGTAATAATAATGTTTTGATGTACATCACAAAGTAGCACTTGTTTGTTATTAAGAACCATTGTATGTACAGTTGTCGCTTGGTATCTGGAGGGGATTAGTTCCAGGACCCCCACAGATACCAAAATCCATGGATGCTCAAGTCCCTTATATAAAATGGCATAGTATTTGCATATAACCTATGCCCATCTTCCTATATACTTTAAATTATCTCTAGATTACTTATAATACCTAGTACAATGTAAATGCTATTGTAACTAATTGTCTCATCACAATTGAAGGCTTGCTCTGGAAGGTAGCCTTTCTCTTCTATGAGTTTCTTGAGCTCTTTTGGGAACGCTGATGCTGCTTGGGCATCAGCCAATGCGATTCGCCTGTGATCTTTAAGTTCTTGAGGCTGTAGTGTTTTATAGAGCTAGCCAGCCATCCCTCACTAGCCTTGAACTCCTTCCTCTCACTCTCCTCAACCCCCTCACACTTAGCCTTTGAGGGATTGCTTTGACCACTTCATTGCTTTTTAGGAGTCATTTTTTCACAGAAACAAAGGGTGCACACAGCACAAGTAGCGAACGAAGGAGACACCAGGCAAACAATGCTCAAATAACGAGTGCTGGAGGGAGACTACAGCAGGGTATGCCTACACATCACTTCATTCCTGTAGGTTCAGCGTAGTGCTTGGCATGTGGCAAATTCAGGTTTGGCTTTTTGGAACTTTTTTTCCCCCAAGTATTTTCAATGCAGAGTTGGTTGAATCTGTGGATACAGAACGTGCAGAGACAGAGGGCTGACTGTACCTTGAATTTTTAATATGATAGGCTTTATGGGGTTGGTTCATAACTATGGGTTGTATGTAAGTCAGATGTTTGTAACCTGGGGACTGCCTGTAAATGCTCTTAGGCTATAAATGCTCCTCTGAGAACCGCTTTGGCCTCATAACACAGGTTTTCATATATAGTACACTTTCTTGTATATTTCTAAACAGTCTGTGATTTCAGTTTAGAACTGGGTATATTTGAGTGACAGAGGGATAATCAAGTTAACAAGAGACTTAGAACAATAGATATCTGTAGCAAGGCTGAGAGTTGGGAGGAAACAATTTTAATTTTTTATTGACTATGTCCTCTGACTTTTTTTTTTACTTAGACAGACGTTCGCTGCCAAAGTTACTCAGATAATCTATCCACCATTCTAGTTCCGAGGCAGAATTCTCTATTCTGTTCCATGAATAGCTCTTGTTAAGAGGCTTTGACTTAAAGAGTACCAAGATGAAACTGAAGCAAGGATCGTTTCTGTGGTACCTCTATCTGGACAAAATATACTGCTTATTATCTGTGAGAAATGTGAAGGCCTTAATAGAATATTTTCACCTTCTTGATGTGCACTGCAAGAACACCTTGAATGGTCAGTACTTTCAGAAATGTTTCCTTGGGGTAGTTACCTGGTTTTTAATTAATGGGCAGGTAAACTTGCAGAACCAGAAACCATTTAGTTAACAAAGATTTACTTTATCTTCTACATGAAGCACAGAGAGAAATGGCCAACTGAGAGTTGAGACTGTGGCACTTCAGTGGGGCAGATAACATTGCAGGCTCTGTCTGGTGTCAGACTGCCTGGGTTTGAATCCTGGCTCCACCCATTATTCCTGGTTGATTTGGAGAACATGTCATCATTGTCTCTAAGTCTCATTTTCCTCATCTGTAAAATGAGGCTTCTAATAATGGAGTCTATCTCATAGTTATTTTAAGATGATATTTTAATGAGATAATGTGTAGAGAAGCTTAGCACGGTGTCTGGCACATCATAAGAGTTTAATGAATGTTTGTTATTATTATAATTAATATTCCTGGGGCCTGAACCCCACTCAGGCACAAACCCTCAGGACCCTTCAGCAGGACTTCCTCATCTGTCAAATGGGAGGTTTTGGTCAGACACTCTGTAATATACCTTCTAACTCTTGGTACTTATAAGTGACCAAAAAGTATTGAAGCTCTAGACCCTGTCTGAGTCCACAAACTAATAAAAGATCAGTTATAATACCCTAAAACACTTCAGGTTCTTTTTAGGATAAAGAAAGTGTATATGAGTCGGAATCAACTTGATGGCAATGGGTTTGGTTTTTGGTTTTGATCTAGTTGTTCATTTTGACCTCATAGAGATAAATGTCATTTGTGAATAAAAGTTTTTTCTCCCCCTCATAAAGGTTGTCAAAAGTCCATTCAATCTTAAAGAATAATAATAAAAACAAGAGGACACCTTCTTTTCATACTTTTACATACAGATTTTCTCGTATAGATTTACACACAGTATGTCACCAAATCTTCGCAATACCCTGCCCTAGATAGACAATTGCAGGGCGCCTAGCTGTAAGTAGCTAGACTGACACTGAAAGCAGGGTGTTCTGACTCCAGAGCTCTCTCTCTAAATCTCACTGGAATATTTGCTGAGAAGCTTCTGATCTCCCAAGGAGCTAAACCACTCCCCAGTGATGCAGTTCACTGAGAGGTGAAGTCATGCTCATGTCTTCTGGTCAACAAGGGCCTGGATAGTGACCTGAGTGAAGGGACAGCCTGAAGATTTGCCTTCCTTAATGCCTTGGGGACGTGAGTAGGCCAGATCCAGCTGGTTTTAAAATAGTATTTATTAAGTAGCTACTAAGTACCGCACTCTACTACCCGTCTGTCAGTTTGTTATACTGTGGTGGTTTGCGTGTTGCTGTGATGCTGGAAGTTATACCACCAATATTTCAAATATCAGCAGGTTCACCCATGGTGGACAGGTTTCAGTACAGCTTCCAGACTAAGACAGATTAAGAAGAAAGACTTGATGATCTACTTCCAAAAAATTAGCCAATGAAAACCCTGTAGATCACAATAGGATGATGTCTGATATAGTGCTGGAAGATAAGTTCCCTAGGTTGGAAGGCACTCAAAATACACGGGGGCTGCAACAATAGACTCGAGCATACCAACGATTGTGAAGATGGTGCAGGACGGGGCAACATTTTGTTGGGGGTTGCCATGAGTTGACAACAAAGTACCACACTGTAACATTTCTCAAGTAGCACCTACACAAGCATCACTCACTGTGTGTGTGGTGTGTTATTTGCAGGTGTTCATACACAGTGGGGCATAGAGAAGAAACACCAAGAGACCATAAGAAGCCCCCAAATCGTGACATTGTGACCAGTGGCTCAGTGTTCTTGGCTATCTTCAGCTGGGGCTTCAAGTTATATAGCCATATTTTAGCTGTTCAGTGGAGCCCTATCTTATGCAAGAGCTAGCTTCTATAATTGAAGGGTAAAGAAAAATCACATGTAGATAAAGTTATACTTGAAAACCCCTTAAATTGGCATACGGGATTTCATCTATACAGTGTGTACAGCAACATACCAATGTATAAATGTATCAGCGTGTTTTTCATCTTATGCTCACTGAGACATAGTGAATGGAATGTCAGGTAAACACTTTTCTCTGTTCTTTAAATTATAGCATTTTTTTCCCCGAATGAATTTGATTGAATAAACATTAACTAATGTGCAAAAGAGGTGGCTTCCCCGTGGAAAGAGCACAGGCTGTGGAGTCAGACCTACGTCTGAATCCCAGCTCTGCATCTTTCTATGTCAGGTAGACCTTTGCCACTCAAAGTGTGGTCCCCAGACCCACAGCATCCACATCACCCGGGAGCTCGTTAGACATGCAGAATCTGAGTCCCATGCCAGGTTTTCTGAATCAGAATCTGTATTTTTACAAGATCCTCAAGTGACTGGTATGCCCATACAGTTTGAAAAGCTCTGATATGGACTAGTTAATATCTGGGGCTTATTATAAAAGGGGCATGATACCACTTAACCGGTAGAGTTGTTAGGGTTCAATGCAATGTGGCATTTAAAGTGCCAAACACATCAGGTGTTCAATAATGTCAGTTCCCTTCCCCCATAGTCAAATGCATTTTCTTTATACAAACCTGAGGAATATTGATGTTTTCATAGAAGAGGAATGATTTTTTTATTTCTCTTAACTTTTAATTATTTCCTGCAAAAGAAAATAACAACAACAAAAAGAGTTGCCCTTGAATTGATTCTGACTCATAGCAACCCCATATGTATCACAGTAGAATTGTGCTCCATAGGGTTTTCAATGGCTGATTTTTTGGAAGTAGGTCACCAGGCCTTTCTTTGCGGTGCTTCTGGGTGAATTCGAACCACCAACCTTTCAGTTAGTAGCCGAGTACTTAACCATTTGCGCCACTCGGGGAGAGGCCCAGGTAAAATGTCACCTTCTCCAAAGAAGTGTCTGTTCTAGTTGCCCAGTAAGAATTAAGCTCTCCTTCCACATACAAGGTAACCCTGGTGGCGCAGTGATCAAGAGCTATGGCTGCTAAACAAAAGGTTGGCAGTTCAAATCCACCAGGTGCTCCTTGGTAACCTTGTGGGGCAGTTCTACTCTGTCCTGTGGGGTTGCTATGAGTAGGAATCGACTTGATGGCAATGGGTTTTTTGGGTCCACACACAAGCTTGTTAGATATGTTAGCCTCTGCCTGTTATCGGTTATGTATGCACATCTGTCTGCTCCATCGAGTGTGTGAGCTGGGGTCAGGAACCAAGCCCTGCCCACTATCTCATCCACCACAGGACCTGGCACAGTGCTTTTCCACATGGCTCAAGGGCAGTTAAGCTTTGAAAAAAGGTGTGGGAAGTACTTGGAATCATGGAAGGTATAGTGGCAAAACCAGAAACAAAAGTCTACCCAGGTCAACAAGCTTTCAAAATTACTCGCACTTATGTAGCAACCAAGGAGCCCAGGTGGCATAATGGTTGAGCACGCGGCTGCTAACCTAAAGGTCGGTGGTTCGAACTCACCAGCAGCTCCGCAGGAGAAAAAACCTGGTGATGTCCCAGAAAGATTACAGCCTAGGAAACCCTATGGGGGCAGTTCTACTCTGTCATGTAGGGTCGCTATGAGTCAGAATCGACTTGATGGCACACAACAACATGTAGCTCCTGGTTGTTGAGCATTTGGGAAGTGCTTCCGAATAATCCATCTCCTCACCTCCCCACCTTAATAGACGTGCTCTTCTTTCACTTCTTGCATCATGTGACGAACCTGAACCGGCCACAGATCATGTTTATATTTGACATGCTGGACTGGAATGCTGTGGGCGAGATTGGTTTTGACCAGTTCTACATGTTGGTTTGCATACTGCTGTCACATCAGGCAAGTAACAAGTAAGGCTCTGGGGCAGAGGGGAAAGAGCTTGGCTGCCACCATCATCTTGCTAAAGGTAGCTCTGAATTAAGAATGCATCAAAATTTTCCTTCCTTTCACTAAAAACAAAAGGAAGAAAAAAATGAGGGAGGTTAATTTGGGTTCCCAAATAGTCCGTCTATAACCTAGAACATTTCTATAATATCTCCTCAGCCTCTGCTGCTGCTATTTCCCCATCTCCAGCCCTCCCAATGGTCTCCCTTTCTAAAGCACAGATCTTAGCTGGGCACGTCCCTGCTTGGCACATCCTTCCTCGCTTGGTATCTTAGTTATCTAGTGCTGCTGTAACAGAAATACCACAAGTGGATGGCTTTAACAAACAGAAATTTATTCTCTCACAGTCTAGGAGGCTAGACGTCCAAATTCAAGGTGTCAGCTCCTGGGGAAGGCTTTATCTCTCTGTTGGCTCTGGGGGAAGAGCCTTGTCATCAGTCTTCCCCTCGTCTAGGAGCTTTTCAGCACAGAGACCCCAGTTGCAAAGGACACCCTTTGTTCCTGGCTCTTCTTGCTTGGTGGTATAAGGTCCCCTTCCTCTCTGCTTGATTCTGTCTTTTATATCTCAAAAGAAATTGACTCAAGATACTGAGTTCTGCCTCATTAACATAACTGCCTCTAATCCTGCCTCATTAACATCATAAAAGTTAGGATTGACAATACATAGGATAATCACATCAGATCACAAAATGGTGGACAATCACGCAATACTGGGACTCATGGCCTAGCCAAGTTGACACACATTTTTGGGGGACACAACTCAATCCATGACACTTGGTTTATCTGATGATCCTCTAAGAATCATCTCAAGTGCCTCACACCCTCAATGGTCCGTTTTCCCAGCAAGTTCTCTGAAGGGGGTGAGACGAGACACACTCATTTTGGGTTCCCACCTTACTTTAGACACCCTTCTAGTGTAGGGTCTATTTATCTATTTCCCATGCCTTGAGGACAGGAACCTTGTGTGGTCACCATTTTATTGCCAGTGCCATGATGCTTCATGAGTAGTTTTCCACTGAATATAAAGAAATGCACTGAGGTGACTAGAGTTCTGTCTAGCGGTGGAATTGATTACTACAGGGGCAGTAAGTTCCCCTTGAATGCAGATGCTAAAGCAGGACCTGATGCATTGATGACAGAACTCTATCAACCCTTAACGTCTATGATTTTGCCTTTTAGTTTTCTAGGGAATAGATGAGTGAACACGAGTTTTGATGTAACAAGTTTAGAAAGTGGCACCAGCACCATGTCTGCTTGTCTTATGTATTTCTTTCAAAACAGAACCACTTGGAAGAGCAATTTATTTATCGCCATTCCCGGCCTGTCTTTGAGCTGCTTGACCTGGATGGGGACCTGAGAATTAGCCTAGATAACTTCAGATTGTACAGCTTTCTCTTCAATATTAAAAAGCAGGAACTCGAAGAGCTCTTCCATGACTTTGATTTCACAGGTGACCATGTAAGTGCAGATCCCCGAAGTGGGGCATGGCAGCCTCTCTGCCCAAAAGCAGAGGGCAGTGTTCTACTAACTACAGTAGAGATGGTTGAGGAGGAGGGTGGGGAAAACCTCCTCAGATAGGCATATTGCATGGTGCTGAGATCAGAAGAAGGAGCCCTGGTGGTGCAGTGGTTAAGCGCTTGGCTGCTAACAGGAAAGGTTGGCAGTTCGAATCTAGCCAGCGGCTTTGCAGGAGAAAAGATCTGGCAATCTGCTCCTGTAAAGATTACAACCTGGGAAACCCTATGGGGCAGTTCTACTCTGTCATACAGGGTGGCTATGAGTCAGAATCGACTCAATGGCACATAGCAAGATCAGAAGAAAACAAAAGAGATTTATAGGCCCATGGAAGAGATAAGATTAGACATAAAGTGCTGTGTTACATACATGGATAAGAAATGCAGAAGTTTAGAGAAGGAAATATATTAACATGGCAGTAGTTGGTGTTGGGGTGTTATAGATTTGAATAAGTAGAAATGAAGGAATTCTATGATGGGGACATGAGCAAAATCCTGAGAACACAGCTATGGTGAAGACAGCGAATTCTGCCTGTTTAAAGAGGAAGCCGGTGTTAGAAAAGCAAGTGGAAGCTAAGGTTGAAAAGGTGAGATGATCACATTGTAAAGAACCTTAGATGCCAGCCTGAAGTGTCTGGACTTGACACAGAAGAAGTAAGTACGTGACCTTGAGTTCCCTTAGAGGCTATACTACTTCTCTATTCCTGGTACTAAACTGTAACTATGTCCTAATTACTGGGCCTCTTTAAGTTTCCAAGTTTTTCAATGAGAAATGATTACAATCCTGCTGTTATCTGCAACGAAGTATCAAATCCTCCCTGAAATAATTTTTCTTTTTCTTTCAACAAAAGCGTCTTAATTACAAGGAATTTAAGCTGTTTACAATCTTCTCCATTGACAAATACCAGGAGAGGCAGAAAGCCGAGAAAGAGAAAAAGTATCCCCTCAAAAAGAGTCTCCAAACAAGGTGATGTGCTTCCAAGAAAGTATTCTTCAAAAAAAAGAATCTGAAAGCAGACTATAAAATCAAAACTGTTAACATATGTCTAAAAATAAATTTAGAACTCAAAGTGGTTATCTTTACGTCGCCGTTTACTTACGAAGGGTCCACGAGTGCTCTTTAATGAGCAGATTCTTTTTTTTTTTTAAGAATTATTACCATTGAATTATTTTATTAATGGAGGAGACATTTTCCTGATGGTACTGGAATATACGATGCACACATGTCTTCTTAGTGGGTAAACTGATGTCCATCCCTGACACCACTTAGTAGCAGGCAAGGTGAGCCCCCACACCACCCCCTTGTCTCTCATTTGTGTGTTATCAGTGTGAAATGACAAACTCAGTGGAGACTGGCCCTCATAGTACCTGGGATAAATGAACCTCCACACGTATGTTTTTTTCTCTTCCCCTCCCTGCCCCCTGCCCTGATTAACCTGTTCTCTGTAACATATTTGTAAGGATTTCCAGCCTGGGATTAGTAGCTGGCAGGATGTGCATGGGACAGATTTTTACCTTCCTTCCAGGAAATCAGAAAGTAATCAGCAGATTCTTAATCTTACTAACCTATTGACTTAATTCAGAACTCACAGGGAACCACTTTCTTTGTCAACAGGTCCGTTCTGTTGCTGCTTTTCAGATCAATGCTGTTTGTTAGGTCCCTGTGTTCCCAATAATTACCAGCACTTACTGGAGCTAAGTAGCTGACAGAAGGTGAAACTTTCCTGATACTTGTCACTAGTGACCCAGTACTCTCAGAATCCTTCCCATCCTCCCAGTCCTTGGGCTGAGACCACCTGGATGAAAGAAGCATCAGAGTAGCCAGTGGTGAAGTGCCTCTAACCATAGGGAAATGGAATTTGAAGGATGTGGAGGCTGTGTTCTTCCTACAACCTGATTTAATCTCTGATGAGTTAGATGCTTAAGACTGTATCAGATCTACCAAGGTAAAAGAATTGTTATGTGCCCTTTTGTATAATTAATGCCTTGAATAATTTTCATTTCTTTTGGCACGAAACTTGCGATTCCTTCCTGACTCCATCATGTTGATGATAACTACCATGTATTACATGTTTGCTAGGGTAGGTGCTTTAGATACATGACTTTGTTTATCCTTGTAACTCTGAGGATTAGGTGTTCTGATCCTCAGTTTACAGACTGGGAAATCGAGGCCTAGAGAGATTAAGAACCTTACCCAAAAACACATGGTTCACTAGTGGTAGAGTCAGGATTCAGATGCAAGGTCCACGACACGCCTTTGCTTATTTACCGCCAGGGAGCTGAGTAACTCACTGAAGTTGTGGCAGGTTTCTGTATAAATTTTAAGCTGATATCTCACTGGTTCAGAAATCCCTTTGGCATCAAGCTGATTACCGTATCTCCTTCTACCCTAGCATTTCTGAGGAACAAGTTTAGGGGTTAAAGAAATACAACTGATGTACTATAGAAACCAAGGATTTCCTAAGGATACATTACATTATATAACCGATCATAAGGCATTCAATGAGTTCCACAGTACCTAATAACAAAAATCAAATTTGATTACACTTTGTCTATGTGCAACAGATAAGAATCCTGCTTATCTAAGATTATCATTCATAATAAGTTAATTTTTTTTTACTGTGCTTTAGGTGAAAGTTTACAGAGCAAATTAGTTTCCCATTAAAAAATTAATGCACAAATTGTTTTGCGACATTGGTTGCCAGCCCCTCAATATGTCAGTGCTCTCCCCTTCTCTACCCCAGTTTCCCTGTTTCCACTTGTCATGGATTGAATTGTGTCCCCCCAAAATATCTGTCAACTTGGCTAGGTCATGATTCCCAGTATTGTATGATTGTCTACCATTTTATCATCTGATGTGAATTCACCACGTGCTGTAAACTCTATCACTGTGATGTAATAAGATGGATTATCGGCAGTTATATTGATGAGTTCTACAAGATTAGATGGTGTCTTAAGCCAATCTCTTTTGAGATATAAAAGAGAGAAGCCAGCAGAGACACATGGGAACCTTATACCACCAAGAAAGCAGTGCCGGGAGCAGAGCACGTCCTTTGAACCTGAGGTTCCTGCGCAGAGAAACTCCCAGACCAAGGAAGATTGATGACATGGACTTTCCTCCAGAGCTGACAGGGAAACCCTTCTCCTGGAGCTGACGTCCTGAATTTGGAGTTGTAGCCTACTAGACTGTGAAAGAATAAATTTCTCTTTGTTAAAGCCATCCACTTGTGGTATTTCTGTTATAGCAGCACTAGAGGACTAAGACACCACTCATGCAGTTTCCTGTCCCTTCCTGCCTTCTCGTCTTTGCTTTTGAGCTGGTATGCCCATTTAGTCTCATATATATGACTGAACTATGAAATAAGTTAAATGTTTGATAATAGAAATAATGTTAGATAATTCCTATGAACACTTCTCTTCTTTGTGTCTAAGAGACATGGGATTTTGATAACACACTTATGAGTATGAATAATGTTTAGCAGCCAAAACTTTTCTCTTCCTCACATTTGTATTATCCGAACTGAATGGAGCAAGAGAAAACAGTAACAACAACAAAAACCCTGAGTCATGCCTAATTCTCTTTGCTCTCTGGTTTCCATGTGGAAATAATGATATCTGTCTCATGGAATTGTTGTGAAGACAAAAAGATGAAAAGTCTCTCACTTAGAACTTTTCCCTTCCTCTGATTTGGCAACATTTGCCAAGTATGCTCCAAGGAGAAAATGATCCTCTGCCAAACAAGTATGGATAGCACTATACCTACAGAGAGTATTGTTCAGACTAGTGCTATCTGGCTGGAAAACAGCAGCTAGAGATCAGCCATAGTTGCAAAGTCCCTCATCACTAAGCTCATCTTGGTGTGGGTATCTGCCTCTTCGTGGCAGCCTAGATGGCTTTTGCTACCAGATGGATTTAGGATCTAGGCATGGTTCTGGGAGGAGAAACTACAAAGAGGTCTTAAGTCTTCTCTCTCGCTTTCCAAGAGGGAATGCTCCTGAGATAAAGGGAAACCATGACATGGATGCTCCCCCTCCCCAGATTCCGTTGCTAAAGAATGGGGGGAAGGGGCAGGAAACGAAGGATAGCCAAAGATAATAGGTATAAACCGAAAACCCAATGCTGTCGAGTGGATTCTGATTCATAGTGACCTTATAGGGCAGAGTTGAACTGCACCATAGGGTTTCCAAGGCGTGGCTGGTGGATTCGAACTGCCAACTTTTTGGTTAGCACTCGAGCTCTTAACCACTGCTCCACAAGGGCTCCGATAAGAGGAATTAAAAAAAAAAAAAAAAGTTCCAGCTGAGTCGATTCCAACTCACAGCAACCCTATAGGCATAGTAGGTATTAATTTAGGGAGTCCTGGTGGCACAGTGGTTAAGCGCTCAGCTGCCAACCCAGAGGTCAGAGGTTTGAACCCACCAGCTGCTCCGTGGGAGAAAGATGTGGCAGTCTGCTTCCATGAAGATTACATCCTTGGAAACCTATGGAGCAGTTCTACTCTGTCCGATAGGGTTGCTATGAGTCGGAATCAACTCGATGGCAGTGGTTTGGTTTTTGGTACTTTGGCTACATAAATAAATTTTAAACCACATTTACTGACTGAAGTTTCAGGAATTAGCAGGTGGTCATTTCCCCCTCTGTTATTAGTTTCCTAGGGCTGCTGTAACAAATTGACACAAACAGAGTGGCTTAAGACAACAGAAATTTATTCTCACAGTTCTGGAGGTCAAAAGTCCAAAATCAAGGTGTCAGCAGAGCCAGAATCCCTTTGAGGCTCAAGGGGAGAATCCTTCCTTGCCTCTACCAGCTTCTGGTAGTTGCCGGCAATCCTTGACGTTTCCTGGCTTGCAGGAACATCACTCCAGTCTCTGCCTCGGTCCTCACCCGACCACCCTCCCTTTGTGTCTGCTTGTCTGTGTCTCTGTCCCCAAATCTCCCTCTCCTAGGACACTAATCATTGGATTTAGGGCCCAACCTAATCCAGTATGATCTCATCTTAAATTGGTTACATCTGCAAAGACCCCATTTCCAAATAAGGTCACATTCACAGGTTCCGGGTAGACATGAATTTTGGTGGACACTATTCAACCCAGAGAAACCCTGGTGGCATAGTGATTAAGAGCTACGGTTGCTAACCTAAAGGTCAGCAGTTCGAATCCACCAGGCGCTCCTTGGAAATCCTATGAGGCAGTTCTACTCTGTCCTATAGGGTTGCTGTGAGTCGGAAGTGACTTGACAGCAACAGGTTTGGTTTTGGTTTGATTCAAGCCAGTACACCTCCTCTCTGGAAATCATTCAGGTGAATATGGAAAGTATCATGAACCAACTATCAGATTCAAAAAAAAGGATGCCTTTTAAGAGCCTCTTCATAAACTGGGCGGTTCTAAGGTGGAATCAGGAAACTGAGCATTGTTAGCTCTCATGTCCCCAAACTGAAATTCAGTGTAAAAACTAAAGTTCAATTGCCCCAGTAAAGTGATACTCCTTTGGGGCTAGGAGTACAACAAAGAAAACAATTTGTGTCTGCTTTAGGCCTTTTTTTCTTAATCATGTGACTTGAAAAAAAAATTAAAAAAAAAAAACGTGTTTGTATGTATGCATGTAGATGCTTCAATTTAAATTTCATTATTTCCACAATGAGTTAATCTACTGGATTATGCTTTTAAGTGCAGAGCTAGGCCATGTACACTTAGGTACATTTTGGATGGCAGTAATGTCATAATTGGAGCCCTGCTGGTGTAAGGTTAAGAGCTTGGCTGCTAACCAAAAAGTTGGCAGTTTGAATCCACCAGCTGCTTCTTGGAAACCATATGAGACAGTTCTACTCTGTCCTATACGGCCGCTGAGTTTAGATGTCGTAATTACACTAGGATTCCTTGGTCAACAAAGTGTGCACCGGTTCTGGGTGCCTAAGCACTGGGTAGAGAGGAGCAGCACTTGCAGGGTAGATGAATGGCAGGCTAGACTGGAG